CATATACACACACATACAGCACTTCCGCACAGACGTACGAATTTAAATGCCCGAGCGAATACTCAACGACGACTGGACATATACACAAAGTCGGCGCAAGCAAATGTGTACTAGTTTATTTTCTATTGGTTTGTTTACTCTATATCTCCGGCGTGCTTGCTTCGAGAGTGGGGTGTTGGGGGTGTTTGGGGGTGTGTTTGGGGGGGGGGGTGTTCTCACAGGTTCTTTTCTCCCTGGAGTTTGTCGCTGACCTCCATATCCTGCAGCTCATTCTCCTGCAACAGCGGCCGTTTCAGCAGTTCCCTGCTTGTGTAGCGGAACAGGAATATGCCTACAAAGTCCATCAACGCCATCAGCCCCACCATCCCCGATAGGTGCTCAGGCCGTGAGTAGAACACCACCACAGGGATCACTGTCAACCCCGCAATCATATGGTAGAAGCTGATCATCCCCCCGGCCACACTGCGCATGTACCAGATCGTATCCCGGGTGGCGTACTCGAACAGACCCAACTCAATGAAAGCCACAGCCACACCGTACAGCAAGCAGGCCGGCATGAGCCACCACACAGACACCATCTCCTGGCCGCTGTTGACGACGTACGTCTCATCGGCTGTGTAGCTACCCGCCTGGTTGATCGCGCGCAGCACAAAGTGTGTCCACAGGTTAGCCACAAACTGCACGAAGAAGCCAAACTGTATGCGCTTGATGGGGTGCACATCTTTGAGGGGGGTGCAGTAGGTGGCCACCGCTACCACCATCACACCCACCGTGATGAAGGTCGTGAACTGATCGGCCGAGAAGACGTTCTGCGCCGGCCCGTCGCACCACAGCACCACCTGCGGGATGATCCACGCACCCTGGCACCCCAACCAGAACATAATGGCGTACACATACACCTTATTGCCGTCCAGGAAACGTGCGTACAGGTCGATCTCCTCCGTAGTGAACTTGGTGTCTGACAGCACCGGCCCGTCCAGCTCCACCCGTCGCTCGATAAGTGATTTGTATAGGAAGTGGTGCTGGATGATATCCTCACGTACTGGCTCGGAGGTGTCTGGGTGGTCATGGGTTGCCTCTGCTTTGCCCTTGCTGTCGTCGGTGGCTGTGCCTCTGAGAATTGGCGGAGGCTCTCGGCGGGGGATCAATACAGCACTCAGGTTGCGGTTGTGCCAGGCCATACGCAGACATTCGTAGAACCTGCAGGCGGGTGTGAGTGTGAGTGTATAAGTGAGTGAGAGAGTGTTTAAGTGAGTGAGTGAGTGTATATATGAATGATTGAGTGAGTGTATATATGAATGATTGATTGAGTGAGTGAGAGAGTGAGTGTATAAGAGAGAGAGTGAGTGAGTGAGTGTAAAAGAGAGTGAGAGAGTGAGAGAGTGAGTGTATAAATGAGTGAATGAATGAATGAGTGAGTGAGTATGAATGAATGAGTATGAATGAGTGAGTGCGTGCGTGCGTGAGTGAGTGAGTGTATAAGTGAGTGAGTGAGTGAGTGAATGGGAGTGTGAGTGTGAGGGGTAGTATGCGTGTTTTACGGGTGGGCTCGACAAGCAATGGCACATAGAGAAAAACGGCATGGTATGGCATGTGCATGTATATATACATATATATATATATATATATATGTGTGTATGTGTATGGTATGGTATGGGATGGTATTGTGGACGTGTCTCAAAAGACAGTTAAACTAATCATTTGCTCATACACGCACACCCACCTCAACACGGCAGCTTTCCTCGGTTTGCGCTTGATGTAATGCTTTCGCGGCAGCAAAAACAACGCCAACGCAGACAGAATCACACACAGGACCACTAAATAGGTCAGCCAGAAGGACGAGCCCTCCTCAGTACCGGGTATGAGCGGCGGCAGGTGGTGTGTTATAGGGAGTGCGATCAAAGCCAGCAAGCTACCTACATTACTAATAAGGAACCAGGCCTGTGTGGTGTCATTGGTGTCGCTGCCTGGTTTGTGCAGACGTTGGTCCAGAGCGAACGGCAGAGTCACCACCTGCGCAATATACAACGAGCGATCAGATGAGGAAGTACAGTTGGCGGTGTGTGTGTGTATGTGTATGCGTGTGCGAGAGAGTTTGAGAAAGAGAGTTTGAGAAACGGAGAGGGGAGCGGCGAATGTTGGTGGTTAACGTGTGTGGCAATGTGCGTTGAGGTGACCAGGTTTGTATATGTTATATATAAAACCAGATAAATTCGGCTTATATTTAATCAAATATACAATTTGTACTATGAACTTCCTGAGCATCCGCCTATAGTCTAAACCTATCCACTTCAACATATCGGTTCTGCACGTGTGTATTTGTATATACATATACACCCGCGGGTTGGCTGTCATAGCTGTATTCAACAAACAATATGTGAATAAATATGGAGATACACTTGCGCACATTGCGGAATTCACTGATATAGGTGAGTGTATGAACTTGGCATATATGAACTTATATTGATGCATATCTCAATAAAGTATTAATCAAATAAATGTCTACAAATTAAAACCATAATGTGCGCGGATATACAAACATAAAGAAACTATTTTATATCTACCGAGTATGTGTATTCATAAATTTACACTAGCATGTATTATAAATCGTCGAAGTAGACAATAATTGATAATACAAACTAAACATTTCAACATGCCTATCATACGAGCATATTTTCTATACACATTCATGTACAAGTGCATATACATATATACATATATATGCACATACATATACATACATACATACATATATATATATACAAATATATATACATATACATAAATATATATAAATATACACACATACACACACACACATATATATATACATGCAGACATGCAGAAATACATATCCGTAATTTGTCATACCAACATACAAACATACATACATTTGTATATATATCAATACACATTAAAACGTATCTATATATATAGATATATATATATATATATTACACATGCATATATAGACATACATATGGATACACGCAGGAATACACATACACATACATATATATTATATATATATATACATATACATATATACATACATACATATATATATATATAATATACATGTATTGTTACATACATACATACATACATACACGCACACACACATACATACATACACACACACACACTAACATACGTATATATACACACACACACACACACACACACACACATATATATATATATATTAATGTATATATAAATATACATAAACATAAACATACACATACACATAGACACACACACACACACACATATATATATATTGTTGAGACGACTTCACTTTTTTTGTAAATATACGAGTGGAAGTATGCTGCACGTAAGCCCTGAAAAGTAGGCAGATGGAGATAAAATGATTTTCTACTTGCTACAGATCGTTTAACTGAAAGCTAATTACAAAACTATATCCCGCCACATACATATAGATAGCCCGAAAGACACCCATATATATATATATATATATAAATATATATATGTATATATGTATATATATGTATATATATGTATATATATATATATGTATATGTATACATATGTATATTAGGGACAATATATTTCCTTTCACATGTCCCTTGTGATTACACTTGAATGCACATAATGGTTTCCATATTCAGCTGTACCACTCACCTTCAGCCAGGACGCAGATAGCGGGGCCAGCAATGAACCTGACAGAGCAAGCACCTTGGCCCAAGGCTTGGGGTTCAACGGATAGTCCTCAAACGCCAACGGTGTTGATGAAATAAACACCATAGTTAGTGCCAGCATCAGAAAGCTGATACTATATAGAATCACGGTATAACGTGACAGATATAAATCGGCTATCAACCCAGCCGTGGCCATCACAGCAAACATGATCACGAAGGCCGAGTCCACAGCGATCAGTGTGGTATCCATTGGGAAGCCTAACATCTCACGGAAGACTGAGACCAAAAGAGTGTGCGCATATGAGCATGTATCGAAAAAGATACTCTAACAGTTGAATTAGTTCCTAGCTCAATAACTTTAAGTAGGCATGCCAACGATACTCTGCTTCTTTCAACGAAAGTTGTATACATAAAAAGGTATACATACATACATACTTACATACATATATACATACATACATATATATGCATATATATAAATATAAATATAAATACAAATACACATATACAAATGCATTTATATATATATATATATATATATATAGAAAGTCTATTGTTTAGTAATAATTACACACACACACAC